TCACTGCGACTAGTGTGCCTCCGCCCCTAGTTGGCCTATCTGCTCTGTGTGTCTGATAGTTGCGAAGTGTGAACCTATCTCCAGGTTTTAGCATGCTTTCCTGGATTAGGCATACATCGACGCTGTATTTGTCCAGGAAGTCTTGGAGCTCTATTTTCTTGTTCTTCACTCCGTTGCGGTTCTAAGACATGACACACAGAGACTTGGGCCTGAGCAGTCTAGACATGACTGCTTATAAGTGCAATCATTTGCGCTTGCATGGCGGCCATGAATGTCTGCATTTGGTTTTGCATCGCCTGGATGGTTTGGGCCAGCTGTTCATGGCCGTTTTTGCCTCCTTGTTGACGTTGGGGGGCTTGCTGGGGCGGCAGGTTACTTTGGACGGCTCTACTGTAGCTCCTGCTGTTTTGGCCGACTGATGGCTGTGATGTGGTGACAGTTGGGACTGCCCTGCGTGTTGGTGGAGTTTCTTTTCTTGGCTGCTGCTTTGATATTGGTTTCGTAGGGCATCCGGAGAAGGAGGCTGGATGTGCGCCTCCGCAGTTTGCGCACCTCGCAGCCAGTCCCGGGGAACTAACGTCAAATATGGCTTTTTCGAATTTTGGCAGTAGCACCAGGACTATTGCTATCGGCTGGCCATTTTTCTTCCACCTCACAATGGTTGTTGGGTGGAATCCTAGGGCAATTAGCTCGTCCCTGATTTTGCCATCGTTCCATGACTCAATAACGCCTCTGATCACCACTCTAAGCTGTTTCTCCTCCTCCAGCTGGTAGGGGTGGTACTGGTATTTATAGGTATCCAGTATCCTAATCATTTGCCTGTAATCTTCGGCAGTTGGAGGGTGAGTTCTGACTCCCTCGTGGTGGTCACTCCATATCCATAATTGATTTTCTTTGCCATCAGTCGTCGCGTAATTTCGTCATATTTGTCCTCCTCGCGAAGGACAATTGGAGGCACCTTTGACCACCTTTCACTTTGCTGCTGGGTGGCAGGGGTGGCCTGCTTCTTCCTCTGTTCGACATCAAGCTGCTGGGCAGCAGGGGTGGCCTGCTTTTTCTTTTCGCTGGTGTTATCCTCTGGCTGGCTGGTCTTTGGCTGGGCTCCTCTGCGAGGGTCCTTCCTTTGTCCCGAATCTGTGGACAAAATATGGGCCTTGGAATTGTCCTCGCTGGAGGACACAGGCCTGGCTCGCTTCCTCCTTCGACGGCGATTTGAGCTTTGATAGCCCTCGCCGTCTGAGGAGTCCGTCATCGGGCCCCCGCCTTCCTTGGAGGCAATTGAGGGGGCTGCCGCCTCAGCGGGTCCCTCCACTGAGTCACTGTCACTGCTGGTGGAGGCTGCGCGCTCCTCCATTTTTTCCTCCGCAGCCACATCCTGCGTTTTGGAGTTCTTGGCGGCTAGCAGCGTTTCC